GATTCACGTTTTCATAACAGGTCACTCTTTTGTGTGCTCCGGTCTCTAAGGCATCTGAAAGTAGCCAACTATAATCCTCATACAGAAAACTTGAGAAGGCAGCTCATCAAAGCCTGAGACTTCAGAGTGCACCTGCTCCCCAGCCTTGGCTGAGTTAACCGGTTCGAAGCATTAACTTAGGGGAGGGAGGGAGGTACTGCCTTCCTTTACACCCTCAGACACTAGTCCACTCGCCCAGGAGAATTTTGTCTAAATTATATCTTACAAAGTCCCATTTCTACATGGATTCCACACTTTTTTCTTTCTTTCTTTCTGGGATAGAGTCTCACTGTGCAGCCCTGGCTGGCCTGGTACTTCCTATGTAGACAATGCTGGCCTTATAACCACCATCTCCGCCTCCCCAAGAGAACTCTGGGACTAAGTGTGTGCCAGTGTGTGCCACCATACTTGGCTTGTAAACTCTTTTGAGAACCACATCTATCTACACCCCAAATCCTTTAATGTGTAGAATTTCTGTCTGCAGAAATTGTCTCTTCTTTAAAAACAAAAATAGATTTTTCTTTCTGATGAGTGCTGTTTTCTCTATAGTTCAAGAAATTACAGGGATTTTAAAAAGAAGAAAAAATTAACTGTCGCCAAGAACTTGTTTGGATAAAATTGACTCCAGGTGTATATGGAAAATGTAGTTAGAGCAATCGAGCGGGCCTGGAATTCAGAGGAGAAAGGACTTGATCCCTGAAACTCTCAGGAATAGTAATGACACTACTTATTGAGCACTCTGTGTACTTAAGAACTGTAAGGAAAACCTAGATGCTTTTCACACCTTATACACATAAGCCAAAAGAGCAGTGAAAAACACACAAGACCTAAGAGCAACAAGACCACATGCACAGCAAACCCTACAGTAAGGCCCCAAGAGAACAGGGTAGGCCTCCTGGCTCTAATACCCTAACCTGAACAAGAAATCACAAGAAAAGATCTACATGTCCAGACAGTCTCCATCTTCAGAGACATAGCAACAGCAAATGTCCTGAAGATTTTATATATGAGCCTAATGGTGACAAAAGCCTTTAATCCTAGAACTCAGGAAGCAGTGAGTTCCTGCTCTATAAAGTATCATCTGCATATTTAGGAAGCAGAGAAGGAGTGAACATTAGTTCAGCCATTCCATTAAGTCTGGGTCAAGTGGAGGCTATAGTCACTGACATCTCTTAAAACAAGCTAGAAGAAAATGTCAAAACTACACCAGAGACTGGGGAGTAGTGGGGCAGAGCAGCCTATCTCAGTCGAATGGTGGTGGAACACCCAGTCCCAGCTCTTCAAGGGCACTGGCAGGAGGGTCAGGAATTCAAGGCCAGTCTTGGTCACATGAGACCCGGTTTCAAACAAACAAAGATACACTGTATATAGGACTGGTGTTATTTGATGAAAATGTTTGCTTTTAGAGATGTCTGTGTATATATAGCTTCACAAGCAAATGAATTTACTATGGTCTGTATGGTTGTCAACTTGATGGGATCTAGAAGCACAATGCAAACAAGTATTTGAACCCATTAGTAAAGAGCTGTGCAGATTAGGGTAAGAAACGAAGATTCACCCTAAATGTAGCTGTGCCATTCCACATGCTGTGGTCCCAGCCCTAGTGAAAAGGGGAAGACCACCAGCTGAGCATCAGAATTCCATTCTCTGCTTCCTCACTTACTGAAGCAGGAGCTACTGCTTTGACCATCAGAAGGACTGAACCCAAGAGCTGTGAGCCCAAAGAAACCCTTAAGTTACTTTTGTTATACATTTTATCACAGCAACATACAAAGTAAGGAATATAGTCTACCAGAACAGGATCTATGTTTTTCTTTTTACAATGCTGTATCCAGCAAACCTCAGGCTTCCCTCCTCCAAGTTCCTGTCTCCTCCTCCTCAGAGTCCTCTCTGCCCAGCCACATCACCCTTGTCTCCACTTCCTAGTGCCAGAGCAGTATTTATTAATAGCTACTAATCATTCCTAACAAAAATGCAATCTTCAACACCCAAGTCAAAATAAAATGACTTAGTCTTTTTAACAAATACGTAACATAAAATCATAAGTGTGAGAAAAGCAAACATCGAAGCCTGATCCAAAATTCTATGAAACAAGGAGTTAGGTTTCTGTGACAAGATGCACCTGGGTGTTCTATTTCCGTTACAGTCATCTGAGGATCCCTGATTTCTGTGTGACATTCAGCTTTCATAGCTGAACACCAAAACGGTTTCTACCAAATAAAACCTGAGCCAGATGTGTTTACATCTTCAGTCATCACTTTTCTGAAAATATGTCTGGAATTTACAAGTGAACTCTCTGAGTAGCACAGAGCACTTCATGTGCTTATGATTTTGTAGAGAAGGTTAAGCAGCAAATATCTCAGTGACTTCAACCCATTTAGCTTGGAGGGAAAAAGCCTGAATAAATTATTAACGGAAATATGTCTTTCTGTTACTGACATAAAACTGGTTTGTTTACTGTAAAATTTTTAAAGACACCAAACAGTGTAAAAAATAAAATAAATATAATCCTTATTCCCCTACTAAATAGCCACCATTTACATTTTGTAGTTAAGAAACAATTAAAGCAACTGGCAAAAACTCGTATCTGAAACAGATTGAAAACTGCACGACAGTCCTAAAGAACAATATATAAATCTACTGCTAGTAGGCAATGCCTCACATTCAACACTTTTGCATGTATGTGCGAGTTGTATGTATGTACTTTATGTGTGGGGGGAGCCTATGAAGGTTGACCACTTTGACATCCTTTCTCTTCAGTATTCATTCCTTCTACCATGCTGAACACAAATGCCCCCCAGCCCCCACACCACAGTTCCCCACCGCCTCTTTCTCCTCCCAAGTGCCTAAAAAAGTACACTTGGATTTAGTCAAGGCTACGTCCATAGACAAGCAATACAATTTATCATCTTAAAGGGTTCCTGCTATCTTATTTTTGTGCTCATATGAGTGTGACTGTGTGTCGGGGTGTGTGTGTGTGGGTGTGTGGGTGTGTGTGTAGGTGTGGGGGGTGCACATGTGTGGAGGCACAGGCTGACATTGGAACATCTTCCATGAATGGTTTTCCAGCCTATCTAACCATTCTGCCTATACTGGGCAGCCAGCAAGCTCCTGGATCCACCGGTCTCTGCCCCTCAACAATGCGGTTACATGTACATGTCTCCACACAGGGTGAAGATCTGAACCAGGTTTTCGTATTTGCACTACTGAGTGCACTACTGAGCATTCTCTGCATAACCCTGTGTCTTCACTTACAATTACTGAAGAAAGCCTGTTTTTATTAAAAATACACAGTTAACATAATGGTCTGTTTTTATAAAAATCCCAAGGCCAAAAAAAAAAAAAAAAAAAAAAAAGTCTGGAGATAATAATAGCTCAGTGAGTAGAGCCTTCACCATGCAAACACTATGTTCAAATCTCCAAATCCCGTTAAGAGCCAGGCACAGTAGCACTAGCATAAATGTCTATACAAAGACACACACACACAATCTTCCACTGGAATTTATAGTGTATAATTTCATTTCATCATTAAGAAATCTAAACAGGCCCTGCAGCAGGCGCCCCAGCCTCAGAGCCCTCATCCAGTGGCTGATGGAAGCAGAGACAGACATCCACAGATATACACTGAACTGAACTCTGGAACCTAGTTGAAGAGAGGAGCCCGTGAAGATCAAAGGGGTGGTTACCAGGCTGGTGAAACCCACAGAAACAGCTGGCCTGAACAAGGGGAGCACATGGACCCCAGACTGCTGTCTGGGAGACCAGCACGGGACTGTTCCAGACCCCTGAATGTGGATGTCAATGAGGAGGCCTCTGCACTCCAGAGAGCCCCTGGTAGTGGATTAGTATTTTTCCCTGGTGTAAGAAGGGACTTTGAGAGCCCATCCCACATGAAGGGATGCTCTCTCAGCCTGGACACATGGAGGAGGGCCCAGGCCCAGCCCAGGATGATGCGGGGGACTTTGGGGAGCCCCCCATCGAGGGCCCAACACTGCCTGGGGAGTAGAGAGTGGATGGGGTGGGAGAGGGAGAAGGGATTGACATGTGAAACAAGCTTGTTCCTAATATAAACTAATAAAAGAAAAAGAAATCTAAATATAGAATTTTTTAAATATTTTTGGTCTAACTGTTCAATTCATAGCCTTGTATTTACAGCATTATTATTCATGCAATTTCCACTACTTATTTATTTTAGTTTTTGAGTCAGGGTTCTCTTAGGTAGCTCAGACTGGCTTTGAACTTGCAACAATACTCCTACATCAGCATCCAAGTCCTGGAATCATAGTCCTATATCATCATGTCTGGCAATTTTTTTTTAACTCTGGTTGAGGGATTTTAGATATTTTTTACTGTGTATGAATGGTTTGTCTGCATGTTAAATATGAGCACACATGAGTACCTGTTGCCTGCCCTCAAAAGTCAGAAGAGGGTGTCAAATCCCCAGGAACCGGAGTTATGGCTGGTTGTGGCCATCGTATGGGTGCTAGGGCTGAACCTGGGTCCTCTAGAAAAGCAACAAATACTCTAAGTCATCTCCCAGTCCTCTGCATTTCTTGTTTGTTTTTATTGATGAAATTCAACAGGTAGGTCATTGTGGTAGTTTGAGTGAGAATGGCCCCCATATGCTTGAGTACTTGGTCCTCAGTTGGTGGAACTGTTTAGGAGCTGTGGTCTTCTTAGAGGAGGTGTGTCACTGGGGGTGGGCACTAAAGTTTCAAAAGACTCCTGCCATTTCCAGTGTGCTCTTGGGTCCTGCTTATGATTTGAAATGTGAGCTCTAGGCTGCTGCTCCAACTGCCTGGTGCCAGGTCTTTGCTCCTTTATTAGAAGCTAACCTTTTGGAACTGTAAGCCCAATTAGGATCTTCATAAGTTGCCTTGGTCGTGGTGGTTTGTCACAGCAATAGAAAAGTCGCTGAGAACCACATGAAAGAAGAAAAAAAAACATTCTGACAGACTTACCTTGGACCCCGACAACATACTGGTCAACATTTTTGTTCCTCTTCCAATCCCAACCACTATGAAAGAAAGAAATATTATGACATTCAATTCTGAAAACAACATTTGTCAAACATCTGCACACCTTGTTCATAACTCACTGGCCTATGTAGTTCGAGGTTGTAAAGAACAGACATTTAATAGAATTTAAGGCCCCAATTAATTCGGTTAGATGATGTCAGAAAACTAAGAAATTCTGAGTAGGGAAAGAGAAAAAAGACTATCTTCCCATTCCCAAGTATTAAACACAGCAGATGCCTCGATACAGCCAACTTCAGTATGGAGGTTCAGAGTAGCACCAAAAGATGCTGGGATTTTATCTGGATACCGTAACAAAGGCATGGTACAATTTGTCATGTTCAAGTATGCTGATGCAACTCTGGCAGGACTCATTACCAAACAAAGCAAAAGTCATCATCGTAGCTAACGAACCATTAAAGATGATTAGTAGCAGACAGCACACAATCAGGAAAAGAGAAACATGGCTAATGAGCCAACAAGGAAAACACAGAAAGAAAGAAAGAAAGAAAGAAAGAAAGAAAGAAAGAAAGAAAGAAAGAAAGAAAGAAAGGAAGGAAGGAAGGAAGGAAGGAAGGAAAGATTACAACTGGAATGACGAAGAGAGAACTGCTTCAAGCCAGACCAGCCAACCTCAGCAGAGTGACCGTGGTTCTCATCTGTTTCAAACATTAGTTAGTGGTGTTTGACCTTCCTCACAGTGGCTGGGCTTTAAACTACTAGCAGTCAGCCACAAAGGCCGGAGCCTGGGGAATTCTGCTCCCCCAGGCAGATGGCTCTGTTGCTGCCACTAAAGGTAGTTCTAACTAAATCTCTATCGTTCTAAGAAAACACGAGATTCAAAAGTGAGTGTGAAAGAGAGTCAGAACAGCAACTAAGTTTCTCTCTTTGCTGGCTTCCCAGAAACACTCCCTTCCACACTGCCCCCAACCTCCCAAAAAACCTACACTAAGCTACTTCCTGTCAACCAGTTGCTAACCCCGTTTCTCTGAGCCCAGGTTAATTTTATTTAATTAATGCAAATATAGCACATTTTTAGTTAACAAATGCAGCATGAACAAATGTAACACAATTTTGCCTGGTTAAACTAGTATCCCACAACAACTTCTCACACACCGCAGCCACCAGGGATGGTAGAGAGGATTTAATAATTTCTTTTTATAAAAGCAGACAATTTTTGGTAAGGATCCAAGTATTACCATAAGAAAACAATGTAGCTGCACAATTCAGAATCCAGGGGAACCAAGGCAAAATGGCTGGCAAGCTGAAAAAGATCATCGTCAATATCTACAGCAGATACCGTTTAATTTGCACTCCGTGCTTTCCATTCATTAAGTTATTCAATCCTTACAAGGTATTTCAGTCTTCATTTCTACCTCAGGCATGAAGAAACTGAGGCCCTTGGGGACTGAGAATGCTGGCCAGCTTCTCACAACTCAAGACACACATGGCAGAGTTGAAGTTCAAACCAAACTGTGTGGTCTCCTCACCATTGCTACCCCAGCCCGACCACTGCACCTCTGCATCCCAGCCTCCCTTCCCAGCCTCCCTTCCCGGCCTCCCTTCCCGGCCTCCCTTCCCGGCCACCCTTCCCAGCCCTGAACCACTTCCTAGCTGTTCCTGAAACCCTCGCTGTGCTCGCTGCACAGCTCATCTCCGCAGTATTCAAAGGTCAACCTTCAAAATGCAGCTCGTCTCAACTCATTCATAAAGTCTGTCCCAGGCCCCTCTGAATGCCCATGGCCCTCACTGGGATTGCTCCTTTAGTAGAACCATAATAGTTCAAGAGCTAAGATCCAAGGCCAGTGGCTCAGTGGCTCTGAAGAGCTCGATATTCTTCAAATGGCAGCACCTGCTGATACTGTTGATGAGGCCAGAACTGTACGATAGCCACAAAGACTCGGATAATTTGATCACATGCAGGTATCTCTGGTCAGTAGCTGCTACGTGCGCAGTCCTGAGAGGGCAACAGAGGAGACATCGCTTGTGTTCTCAGGGGAAGCAAAACTCAGACCGGGAGAAATCAGTGCTTAAAACGGTTGTCCCCATTCATGGGTAATGCTAAATGACGTGATGGCATGTAAGTGTCAACATGGACACAGAGAGGGGCCTGCTGCAGGAAGCGGCAAGAAGACCACCAGGAAGGCGGAGGCCAGAGAGGCTTCAATCAACACAGCGAGTGGGGTGAGCCAGCAGGGGTGTGTGTGGAGAGAAGCGGCATGAGGGCTGGATGAAGAGTCAAGGGACAATTCTGTGCTTTTACTTGGTGGTGGCTCTCCCCACCCCACCCCAAGGCCTGCACTCGCATTTGATCAAGCAAAATTCTATTTCGTACTTAGTGTGTAGGTGAAGGACTGAGTGAGACTGGCTTAGTCGGCAGAGCTACCGCCTAGCAGGAAACAAGGGTACAAATGTTACCAAACGCTAAGGAGCAGGCCTCACGTGCAGAAAAGTTATCGCCTCAGCTGGAGAACTGACCACACAACTGTGCATTTACTGTTACATAGACATGAAAAATGTTTACAAAGTGTTTTCAAAGTTTTTAAACTATCTTGAGAAATATTTCTGTTAACAAAAAAAAAAAAAAAAAAAAAAAAAAAAAAAAAAAAAAAAATCCCAAAGCAAAGCTCCATGTTAGAAAAGGCCTGGCCGGGGACTGGGGAGATGGTGCTGTGGTTAAGAGCTCTGCCTGCACTTCCAGAGGACCAGGGTTCAGTTCCCGGCACCCATACGACAGCTTATAACCAAACATCACTCTAATTCCAGAGCATCCAATACCCTCTTCTGGCATCACCCAGAGATACAAAATAAAAGTAAATAATAATACACATGAATAGAGAGTTAAGAAGAAATACAGTTTGTAATACTTCTGAAAATTTCCACTGTGCTTTTATAACCTGCAAAGCTACGCCTACCCATGTAAAGTGATTAATGGACACTTAAATTTCCATCTTAAGGGACTGGCAATGAAGTGTGGGTTAGTATCCTCTGGTTGCTGTCACAAACTGTGCACGTGGCTTAAAGTAACCCAATGCCCTGGCTTATGGGTCTCGGGTAAGAAATCTAAAGCAGGTTACCACGGGCTACGACAATGAAACACATCAGTTTAGAATGAACTCCGGGGACTGACATGTCGTGCCACTTCTGTGGTCCTGAGGAGAAGCCACAGCTAAAAGCTTCCCCAACGAATGTCTTGCCTTTTCCAGCTCCTAGAGGCTACTCACACTCTTGGGTTATGGTCCCTTCTCTCTTCAAAGCCAGCAATCACATCACGGCAGCCTCCACTGCCATGTCCTGACTTCCTTGGTGCCTCATCTGCTTTTAAAGATGCTCACTGGGCTTACCTGGAAACTCCAGGATAATCTTATTAAGTCACCTGACCAGCAACATTAACTCTGGCTGACCCCGGACCCTGTGACCTAACCTAACTTGCTCAGGGGTTCTAAGGATGAAGGTAAGATGGCCCCCGGCAACAGCTCTGACATTCAACAGCTCTGACAGCTCATTTTGCAAGCTCTCCTGTAATACATTGTGGTGAGATGGCTCCTGGCAACAGCTCTTACATTAGCTCATTTTGCAAGCTCTCCTGTAATATATTTCACATTTACTTTTCACCTTAGATCCGGGATCTGTACCATGAATACAAAGAACAGTTTCTAAAACGCATGAAGTACTTCCCAGTAAGACGGCAGATCAAAAGCTGTCCCGTATAACATGTAGCAAGAACAGAATCAAGATAAGGTAGAATGGGAGTCAAAGAGAGAAAGGGAGAAAGAACACAGGAAAGTCACAATGGGATGATGGGAACAACAGGACAGCAGAGGGACTCAGTGGGGGGCGGGGCAGGGGAGACACCAACCATTATCCCCTCCAGCCTGACTCTCCCTGGTAGGGAAGGAGAGGCCTGATCTAAAGGAAACAACAGCACACACACCACAGAAAAACACAACCCCAGCATCGGTCACAGGAAAAACCCAGTCCACATGCTCACCTGAACCCAGGACGACTCTGACTTCAGTTGGCCCGAAAGGAAGCCCCTCTGATTGCTTGTGCTTCCTGCCTTCTTCATCAGTATCTTTATCTCACTCTTTTCAAAAAGCTTCTATAGGGCCAACATGGTGGTGTACGCCTTTAATCCCAGCTCTCAGGGAGCAAAGGCAGGAGGGTTGACTCAAGTCAAGTATCGCATAGAGCAATAGATGTTTGTTCTAGTACGTGGGGATGGAGATGACAGGAGGCCCAATATACGCATTCCTGTGCCTACGGTGCAATCTCAGGGAGTTTTAAACACACCCTATCCTATGGGTGCGCATCTTCACAGCCCGTAAAGGTGAGACTCAGAACCTCTACCAGAGTTCTCAAACAAGACATTTAAAAGGACAGATGGTTTTTCTCCTCTCAATCAATACTACCAAGTTTTCTTCCACAGCACTTAAACCTATAGATGTCTGTGAAACACAAATGCTTCCCCCTGAGAACTATCAGGCTTATATTCTAAAGAGCACTCATCTGAGGTTATACTAGACATAGCAATGCCCCCACAACTGTCCCATGCCCAAGACTAATAAACAGCTAGGGATCATTATTTATAGTGTACTTATGACTTAGCGAGATCTCCTGACACAGTAGGGTGTGCCAGGGAAAAAGGCACTGGAGAGATGCCCACTTCCCCAACCTCTCTCCTTCCACTTCAGGGATACACTGGCTTGCTCTTTCAACATGCTGAAATGCAACATCATCCCCAGCCTCTCTCCTTCCGCTTCAGGGATACACTGGCTTGCTCTTTCAACATGCTGAAATGCAACATCACATATACAATGCTTCTCTCAGCAAACATGTCAGGCAACGTTTTATTTGGCATTGGGAAATGGTCACCCAGGCCTGTGAGGGAGCCCAGAATTCCAGATTCCTAGATGGAAGCAGAAGCCCACAGAGTCACAGAGCCAACCATGTTATGAGATAGTAAAAGGAGGAAGTCATTCCCATAATCCAGGTCCACAGACGGCAGCCACGCCACAGCTTTCCAAACACAATGGTTTCATACATGGTGTGTTAACTGTTCTGCTCGGCTTCAACACTCTGTTCAAAGCCCCATGCAAGTGTAGAAGAGATGATGGTGCTGTGTGTTCTGTGTGCAGTGTGTGCTGTGTGGTGTGTGCTGTGTGCAGTGTGTACTGTGGGCAGTGTGTGCTGAGTGTGCGGTGTGCAGTGTGTGCGGTGTGTTCAGTGTGTGTGGTGTGGTGCTGTGTGGGGTGTGCTGTGTGTGCTGTGTGTACTGTCTATGTGGTGTGGCGCTGTGTGGTATGTGCTGTGTGTGCTGTGTGTACGGTCTATGTGGTGTGGTGCTGTGTGGTGTGTGCTGGGTGTGCAGTGTGCAGTGTGTGCGGTGTGTTCAGTGTGGGTGGTGTGGTGCTGTGTGGTGTGTGCTGTGTGTGCGGTGTGCGGTGTGTGTGGTTTGTTCAGTGTGTGTGGTGTGGTGCTGTGTGGTGTGTGCTGTGTGTGCTGTGTGTACTGTCTATGTGGTGTGGTGCTGTGTGGTATGTGCTGTGTGTGCTGTGTGTACGGTCTATGTGGTGTGGTGCTGTGTGGTGTGTGCTGTGTGTGCTGTGTGTACGGTCTATGTGGTGTGGTGCTGTGTGGTGTGTGCTGTGTGTGAGCTGTGCAGTGTGTGCAGTGTGTTCAGTGTGTGTGGTGTGGTGCTGTGTGGTGTATGCTGTGTGTGCAGTGTGTACGGTCTATGTGGTGTGTGCTGTGTGCAGTGTGTGCTGTGTGCTGTGTGTGCTGTGGGCTGTGTGTGCTGTGTGTGCGGTGTGTGGTGTGTGTGGTGTGTTCAGTGTGTGGTGTGGTGCTGTGTGGTGTGTGCTGTGTGTGCAGTGTGTACGGTCTATGTGGTGTGTGCTGTGTGTGCGCTGTGCAGTGTGTGCTGTGTGCTGTGTGGTGCTGGGTGCTATACAGTGCTGGATATTGCAATGGTGCTGTGTATGGGTGCTGGGGGTGCTGTGGCTTTGCACCACTCAAGGGCTTCCTAGAAGCACTGTAAATACAGTGCAACTAGAACCTTCCAGGGTGTGCTGAGGAGTCAGGGTTTCAGATGATTTAATCTGTGTTCGACTAGTATTCCTGGCATTACAGGGGAGTGCTATTAAACTTCCTTCGTGTCTCTTACCCAGAACACCTTGTGCAGCACTGTCCAGCGTCCCTCCGTGTCCAATCTTCAACGTCTGCCTTTGCCTCTTGTTCCACTCTGGGGAAGGCATCCCAGCTTCTATAAGAGCGACCAGGGTGAAAAGAGTAATTACCAAGATAAGTCAGGAGGAATTCAGACAAGAAGACCCATTCAAAATTAAGACAATGCAGATGTAAGCCGATGGCCACTTATCTAGCAAAAAGCAGATTTTAAAATGTATGGCAGGCTCAGTGTGGAGCTACATGCTTACAGCAATGAGTTTCAGGCCAGGGAGGTCTACATAGTGAATTCCAGGCTGGTCAAGGATACATGGTGAGACCCTGTCTCAAAAACCAAAACAATAAAAACTGAGTAGCCAGGCCAGGGAATAGCTCAATTGGTACAGCCCTCGATATGCAAGCATAGGACCTGACCTCAAACTCAGGACACACATGGAAGAAACTGGGTGTGGTAACATGAATTTATCATCACAGAGCTGGGCAAGGGGAGACAGGTAGGCCTCTGAGGCTTGAAGACAGCTACTTGGTGAGTTCCAGGCCTGTGACAGACCGTGTCTCAAACAAGGTGGACGGTGCTTGAGGATAACCTCTGGCCTCCACACACATGCATCCACACCCCCACACACACACGCACGTAAAGAAAAATAAACAGTACTTCAAAATTAGTCAACTAGAAAATAGAACTCATTTTAAAAGAAAAACGATTCTGATTTGTTTATTTATTTACTGTGTATGGATGTTTTGGTTGTCTGTGTACCATATACATGCAGTGCCCAAGGAGGCCAGAAGGGGGCATCAGAGCCCCAGGAACTAGAGTTACAGATGGACATGAGACCCCAGTGGGGGCTGGGAATAGAACCTGTGTTCTCTGGAAGAGTAGCCAGGATTCTTATCAGCACAGCCATCTTTGCAACTCCAAGGAAAACAGTTTCGAGTGAGTCAATATTTAAGCTAACTCTGTGAATTCTAGCGATACCCCTGCAGCTGGAAAATGGCATGGTCTGGCACGTGCAGCTAGTTTAAAAGGTCCTCAGATAACCTCTCTAAATATCTTCAGGTTCCTCCGCCCTCCCGGGTGCTTCCCAACTCTAAAAGCACCTCACAGGGCTTCATGTCCCTACACTCAGCCCTCAAACTGGCTTTACTTGCTGCTCTCTTGAGCAAAACCTTCAATTCATTAAAGAAACTAATCTCAACAAGACGGTAAGTGGCAAGTATGGAACAGCGAAGTTACCGCTTGACCTCCGAAGCATTTTTTTAATTGAAAATGGACTCATCTCTCAGAAAATACATCTGGACCAGTTTCCCCTCCATTCACCCCTTTCCATGCTCCCGTTTCTCCCAGAACCACTCTCCCTCCATTTTTCTTCAGAAAAGAGCAGGCCTACAAGACACAAAAACCAACATGAAAAAACAAGATACAATCAGACAAGGCAAAAGCATTCATATCCAGGCTGGACATGGCAACCCAACAGCAGAAAAAGAGCCCCAAGAGCAGGCAAAAGACACCCAAAGTTAGGAGTCCCCCAGTAACAGAAGCTACCAGCCATAACCTAGAGGACCTGGTGCAGACCTTGCATTTAATAAAAAGAAAAAAATAAGGCTCCCAGTCCAGCTCATGTCACATTCCCATCCTTATGACAAGGGTCATCCTGTTCCCTGTCTCTCACTGTCGTGACAGCTGTCATCCTGTTCCCCGTCTCTCACTGTCGTGACAGCTGTCATCCTGTTCCCCGTCTCTCACTGTCGTGACAGCTGTCATCCTGTTCCCTGTCTCACACTGTCGTGACAGCTGTCACCCTGTTCCCTGTCTCACACTGTCGTGACAGCTGTCATCCTGTTCCCTGTCTCTCACTGTCGTGACAGCTGTCACCCTGTTCCCCGTCTCTCACTGTCGTGACAGCTGTCACCCTGTTCCCTGTCTCTCACTGTCGTGACAGCTGTCACCCTGTTCCCTGTCTCTCACTGTCGTGACAGCTGTCACCCTGTTCCCTGTCTCTCACTGTCGTGACAACTGTCACCCTGTTCCCTGTCTCTCACTGTTGTGACAACTGCCATCTCTGTACTCTGTCCCTCTGCCCATCAAACTACTTTATAGCCTTTGACAGCAGGGGACAGAAAACATGACATGAAGTGAAAAGAGAGGGCAGGGCAGAGACAAGGAAGCCGGCCATAGGGGAAGTGGAGAAGGCAGATTAACCCTTCAGAGGGAGTGCTGGGCCCCCTAGCCTCACAGCATGATCATCCCACTGGTTCGGAATCTGAGATCAGGCAACAGTCCTAGTGTCCCTCAGACAGGACATCGCCACACTGGGAAGAACACAACTGAAGCACCATGAGCCGCTCAGGCAGTGGTTCTCCACCTGTGGGTCATGACCCTTTCACAGGGTACTGCATCAGACATCTTGCATATCAGATCATTATATACGTAACAGTAGCAAAATCACAGTTATGAAGTAGCAATGGAAATAATTTTATGGTTGGGGTCTCCACAACATGAGGAACTGTATTAAAGGGTCACAGAACATTAGAAAGGTTGAGAACCATAGCTCAAAATTTAGGCCTGGACTTCAAATGCCTCACCTTCCAATATACCATGGATCTGTCCGTGAAAGACTCGTTACGATAAATCTTTCCGCCAAAGGCTGAGGAGCCCCACCGCCACGCTTTACAGCAGCCGCCTGCCAGAGTTAGGGCCCCAATTAATGCACAGAAACTTGTATTAGGTTCAAATGCTGCTTGGCCAATGACTAGGACTTCTCACCTGTTAGCTCAGTCTTAATTATCATAAATCTATATATTTTATAAGACTTATCTATCGGATGCCTTATTGGCGTCCCTCCTTGCCGGTGGATCACATTGTGCCGCTGGAGCAGGAGCGGAGGGGAAAAAAGGACACTTCCTGTTTCTCCTTTAAATATGAGTCTCCTTGCTATGTCACTTCCTGCCTGGATCACCACTTCTCTTACTACATTTCCCAGAATCCTCTTTGACTCCTAGTCCTGTCTAGCCTGCTGCCTCATTGGCTAAACAGTATTTTATTTATCATTTGGTAAGACAAACACATACACAGAAGTACTTCCCCAATCAGATACATTAGGGAATCCTGATACGTCTCACAGTATAAAGGTCTCATAAATCCAATCATTTTGTCTGAGCCCAAATTTATCTCTAACACACACACATAAGGTCTCTGCCACACTAGTGAAATTTTGTCCAGTCTTCTGAACCAATTATTCAGATGAGTGTTTATGGATGACCACTGAAGTTCCTTTCTTGTGGTGATATACTATTTATGATTTAATAAAGATTTCCTGAAATCAGAAAGCAAAGCCAGCCACACTAGTTAGCTGTAGAAGCTAGGCAGTGGTGGCACACACCTTTAATTCCAGGACTCAGGAGACAGAGGCAGGTGGATCTCTGTGAGTTCAAGCCCCCCCTGAGATACACAAGAGTGAATCAGTCTAAAAGAGAAACAGAGCTCACGCCTTTAATCCCAGCCTAGGGAGGTGGAGACAGGAGGATATGGCTGGGCAGAGAAAGGAATATAAGGAGGAGGAGAAGACAGGAACTGAGAGCTTTTGCCTCTGAGGATTCCTGGAGACAGGATTGCCATTTCAGCTGGGTAGAGGTGAGAGCCACTGGCTTGGCTGCTTCGCTTCTCTGGTCTTCAGCTTGAAGCTTGAACCCCAATATCAGTCTCTGGGTCTTTTATTTTTCCGTGTTACACTTTCTAACTATAAAAAACATAGTATGCTTCAGGCCTTGGAAGGTTCAAAGTCACAGAAGAGAAGGGATCCTACAATGACAGAAATCACAGTAAGGATGGGTAAAGGATGTTAACTGTGGCAGCTGACTATGAGTGAATCGGTGTTTATCAACCCTGGACAGGACAGAATACTGTCCTACTGTCAGCATTTTGAAAGGTGATTCTGACAGGGGTGAGGGGTGAGGGTAGGGGTGGGGGGTGGGTAGGAGGTGGTGTTAGGATGGCATTCAGGAAGTGATACAGAGCATCCCAATCATGAGTACTGTAGACAAGGAGGAAGGGTGCCACCATCTCCTTGAGTGTTGCCCAGCAACCAGCCTAGCAACAGCCTTGACACCATCAGTCCTATCCCTTAGTTCAATATCCCCTGACAGGAAATGGAGTGTAAAGAAAACTCAGTATTCTAGTGTCGTCAAGTACGTAATAAAATACCCTCACAAAAGGTAACTCAGAGTTTATTTTTAGCTCATAACTCCAGCTTATGGTCTGTCATCACAGAGCTTGAAACAGCTGGTCACATCACATCCAGTCAGGAGCACAGTGAAAAGGAAGGCATGCATGCTTCATGATCAGCTAACTTGCACTCTCGTCAATTTCTCCAATCTCACATGTGTCAAGATGCCCTGTCTAGGGGATGGTGCCACCCACAGTAGGCTGGGTCTTCCTATCAGGGAACTCATCTAAACAATCCTTCATAGGCATACACACAGACCCAATACAGACAATCCCACTCACACCCTTACTGAAATTCTCTTTCCCAGGAAATTCTAGGTCACTGTGAACTGGCAATCAAAGTTAACCATCACACTTAACAAATGAGCAGGTTTAACACCAGCATTTAGCATCTGGAAGCATGTACCAATTAGACATTAAACATTTAAAGTTGGACGTGACCTGTCATAATCAGCAAATTCCTATTAGAATAGTTTGATTCCATGTCTAAAGAACAATTTAAGATCAGTTATGGAGGTGCACACCAGTAAGTTTCACATTCAGGAGCTGAGGCAGGAGAATCGCTGTGAGTTCCAGGCTACCCTTGACTACATAGTGAGTTCAAGACAAGCCTCTCTCAAAACAAACAAACAAACAAACATAGACAAAGTCTTCCAGCAGACACTGAACAATGTAAGAGGTTTCTGTACTAGTGCCAAGTGAGGCCCAAATTACTTATATCCTTCATTTTTTAATGACTAAAGCCTGCAGAAATCACAAGACTGCAAGCATAGTTAAGGGAAGAGACAGCCACTGTTCATCCCCGTGTCTCTATAGGACAGCAAAGACAAGGCTTAATACGAGAAGTAAAACCAAGACCGGAAGTGAGGTTGTTCACAGGGTAAAATGCTTGCCACACATTCACGAGGACCAGAGTTTGGATCTCCAGCATCCACATGAATACCACATGGCATTGGGGGAGCCAGGCTGGTTGTTCTCTAGAGAGAGCTCAGTAGCTAGACTTGTCTTAAGTTTCAAGAGAGCTACTGTGCCTCAACATATGAAATCGAAGGAAAGCCTTCTCTGAGGATGACCATCATCACCTCTGACCTACACACACACACACACACACACACACACACACACACCCTCCCGTGAGAAGCTCACGTGGCCAATGTTAGACACACACACACGAACGCACGCACGCACGCACGCGCACACACACACACACAGGAACACACACACAGGAACACACACACACACACACACACACACCCTCCCGTGAGAAGCTCACGTGGCCAATGTTAGAAAAGAGCCTGCAACCCAAGTTGCCCTGGGTTTCAGTCCAGAGTTAATTCAACTCAACGGTCTCTCCCTCTCTCTCTCCCTCTCTCCTCTCTCTCTCCCTCTCTCTCTCCTCTCTGTTTCTCTCTCTCCTCTCTCTCTCTGTGTCTCTCCTCTCTCTCTCTCTCTCCTCTCTCTCCTCTGTTTCTCTCTCTCCCTCTCTCTCTCCTCTCTGTTTCTCTCTCTCCTCTCTCTCTCTGTGTGTCCCTCCTCTCTCTCTCTCTCTCTCCTCTCTCTCCTCTCTCTCCTCTGTTTCTCTCTCTCCCTCTCTCTCCCCTCTCTCTCTCTCTCTCTCTCTCTCTCTCTCTCTCTCTCTCTCTCTCTCTCTCTCTCTCTCTCTCTCTCTCTCTCTCCCTCTCTCCTCTCTCCTCTCTGTTTCTCTCTATCCCTCTCTCTCTCCTCTCTGTTTCTCTCTCTCCTCTCTCTCTCTCCCTCTCTCTCTCCTCTCCATCTCCCTCTCTCTCCCCTCTCTCTCCTCTCTGTTTCTCTCTCTCTCCTCCCTCTCTCTGTGTCTCCTCTCTCTCTCTCTCCTCTCTTCTCTCTCTCCTCTGTTTCTCTCTCTCCCTCTCTCTCTCCTCTCTGTTTCTCTCTCTCTTCTCTCCTCTCTGTCTCTGCCTCTCTCTGTCTGTCTCTCTCTCCCTCTCCCCTCTCTCTCCTCTCTGTTTCTCTCTCCTCTCTCTCTCTCTCTCTCTCTCTCTCTCTCTCTCGACCCCTGAGCGCGCACATTGAGTCAGTAAATAAATAAGTACTAAAGTGAGACTTAAACCCAGGGCTGCAGTACCTGCCAGCAGCTTCTCCTTCAGCCGATTGAGCAGCTCGGCTGACGTGGGCCCCTTGGGCTTGTGCACGGCGAACACGCCGCTGAGCGACAACAGCTTAGCAGCCAGGGCGGCCTTGGAGAGCTGGGCTTGCGGGGCGGCTGCGGCTCCAGGGGTGGCGGCTGTCCCTGCAGAGTCTGCAGTCAGAGCTGACACCACCTCCGCCTCAGCGACTGCCATGCTTCCACAGCCTGCGCCCGCTGACCGGGAGGCGCACGCAGATGACGCAGCTCTCCGCGCGCTGTGCCGCAACGCCTTCTGGGAATTGTAGTCCATGACCGCTCCCGTACTGGCCTATGGCTTGCTGTGGCGTCTCTGGTCTGATGGAATCTCTACTTTATCTCTGCTTACTGGAGTGCTCTTAGGTCCCCAAGGCAGGGGTACAAGCGAGTTGCACTGTAAACGACCCAGCACAAACAGCAAACTGTGAATTTTAGGTGAAGGACTCACTTCCCGTCCCATGGGCACCCTTCTACGACTAAAAGAACCAACCCCCCCAAAAAAACTATACCTTCATATTCTTGTTTGTGAATGTGTGTGTGTGTATACATACATACATACATACATACATACATACATACATACATACATACATACATGCATGCATAAACACACACACATATATATACATGCATACATATAGATAGATATAGACATATAGATATATGTATAGATATTTATATAGATAGATAATATATATATTCTGATGTAGCATTCTCTTGGATTTGCCATTTAGAATGACAACCATCTGAATATATGCTCAGCTTTGGCAAGGTGCCTATGGAACTCATTCTGTATCACAGATGCCTCACACATTAGTGAGTGCTTAAATAAATACCTGGGAATGAATAAATGAATTCTAGTTATTCAAAGACCCCAAAGAAACATATAGACCAATCCAGTGGTAAGTCATGTAACAAGTCTGTCCCACCTACCAGCACCCAAATAATGCCAAGGAGACTTGTCATTAATTATGAAAGCTTGGCCAATGGCTTAGGCTTATTCCTAACTAGCTCTTATAACTTAAATTAACCCATTTATATTAATCTGTGTTGAAGACGGAGGTTTCTGCCCAACATAGTCCTGCAGTCGATTAGCCACAAATAAACACACAAAGACTTATATTAAGTAAAAAATGTTTGGTCAATGACTCTGGCTTCTTATTAGGTAGCTCTGTCTTAATTTTAAGTCATTTCTATAATCTATGTATTGCCACGAAGTTGTGGCTTACCAATAATCCATCACGTTACTCTTTTGGCAGCTACAAGGAGTCTCTTTGTGGCTTCTCTCTGCCTTCCTCTCCCCAGCTTTCTCCTGGCCTGGTACCCCCTCACCGCCCCATCTTCCTGCTGGGCTATTGGCCAATCAGTGTTTCATTTATCAACCAATAAGAGAAACATATACACAGAAGGACCTCCCCATCACTATGTTCTATCACATGGCATTACTTCTCTTCCATCGTGCACCTCCTGTTTGCTCTCTGTGTCTCCTGGCTTCTCCTGTGAGCCTAGATTCCTCCTCCTCTTCCTTTCTGTGCCCGGAAATCCCGCCTATACCTCCTGACTAGCTATTGGCCGATCAGCTTTTTATTACACCAATTCACAACAATACATCTTCACACAGTGTACAAATTCCCCCAAAACAAACCATATGAGCCTGGTTTGATAAATGCAGCTCTTGACAATTCTAAGATTAAAAAAAAAATATTCTTTGGGGGTTTCCATTCCTTTGTAGACACTGATTAGATATAAAAAATTATAGTAAGGCAGGGCATAATGGTGCATGTCTTTAATCCCAGTATTTAGGAGGCAGAGACAGGTGAATTTTTGTGAGTTCCAGACCAACCAGGGTTACATAGTGAGACCCTATCTCAAGAAACAAACAAAAACAAAACCCTATGATTTAAGTTAATAAAATTAAACTCTTTGCAGATGGGACATCAGATCTTCTCTCTAAAAGTGTATCAATCCAGCAGAGAAAAATCACAAACACTATTTTGATCCCAGAGTAAGTCAAAATAAAGGGGGAAATGGCTTTACTCCTGTGGATGTTGTGGGATACCTAAATGCGTTTTTCAATGGTTTCCCACATTTCCTCACAGCTGTTCTCTCTTGTGGTGTCCTCCTAGGATAATACCTTGTCCTAGTGAAGTTGCTTAGGTGATCCCAGTCAGGGCATCTATTTGCATTTTTCCCACTTGTGCAACAAATACATGGCCAAACAATGATTTCAAACACAGTATTCTTGACATTTGAATCACCAGGCTTCAATTTTCTGAAGTAACCAACATCTTACACATTAGGCAAGCCTTAAACCCACAGGTCATGTTATTTACTATTTTCTGTGGGCTGGGAGAGTGTATCAGGGTGGGGATATGCAGTGAGACACTGTGTCGTGGTAAGGATGAGAATGTCACCCATAGGCTCAGATGAGGCTCAGATGTTTGACTACTTGGTCCCTATTTGGTGTCTGTATGGGTAAGTTTAGGAAGTGTGGCCATGCTGGAGGAAGTATCTCAGTGGGGACATGTAGAGGAACCCTGTTTAGAGGCAATGCTGCCCATGCCCGCTTGGGGCTGGACACGGGTGTGATGCTGACCATGCCCGCTTGGGAAAGGTTTAAGTAGTTAGAGGTGCACACTCGGGGCCCTTCTCTCACTCCCTGCATCCTGGCTAAGCAGACTTGGGTGAGTACTATTTCTTAATAAACTACCTGTTATCAGTGTAGATCTGGCTCCACATTGTGTCCAGCTTTAGGGACAGGCTTTCAGATTAAAAGCCTTGTGTAATTCTCAGTTTTCTCTCTGCTTCCTGCTTTTGGTTCAAAATTTGAGCCCCAGCACCTTGATCTGACCTGCTGTTCGATACCTTGCTTCCCTGTCCCAACAGACCCTTATCCTTCTAGCCCAAATAAACAATTTCTTCTACATGTTGCCTCGGTCCTATGCATTGTCACAGCAAAAGAAAAATAACTAATACACCCTGTCTGGAAATAATATTAATACAAATTGAAGTCTCTAACATTCTAGATAAAATTGCCTTGTTACCCTCAACTAGCCATGTGCCACCAAAGGGTGTTTATGAGTAAGACTCAAAAAAAAAAAAAATCAACCAGATCCAAATACAGTGCTGGGTCTCCTGTGGTTCCTGGGCCTCTGCTCTGACCCCTGACATAGACACACAGACCTGGGAAAGCCTTTCTTCCCAGAGGCGTCTGTACACGCTCTTGTCTGGAGCCATGGGCAGCAGCACACAGAGGCTGATTTGAGGCCTTACAATCTGAGTATCCAAACTGAGACACAGAAAGGTGTTCCCGACATTAGGAAAACAGAGCTGAGGATGCACAGATCTGCACCACACACACGGGAAAGGCACCGTGTTTAAAAGTTCAGAGCCAGATGTATCTGTCCCATCTGTTCATAATTTCCATCACGGAATTAAAAAGGGTTGAAAACTCTTTAAAGTTTGTCCCTGTCTATGCCACTTGGGAAGAAAATGGCAAGATAATTAAAGAAATCACTTGGCTACACAAGGGATTCCCTGCTGTGAACTGAGGGGGTTAAAGAACATTTAGGTGCACTTTCTGAAGTATAAATATATGTAAAGTTTTGATTTTCACTTACATTCCTTTTGTAGTTAGGAAAGATAGTTTAGTTGCAATAAGTAAAACTTAAAATTGAGCAAAGAATGTTTTTGTCTTAGAAAAGAAAGGATCTGTGACAAAAGGCTAATATTAGGAGTATCACAGACATGTCGAAGAAAAAAAAAAAAAAAAAAGCTGACATCCAATGATCTGGGAATGGGAAGAAATCCGAGAGATGTTCAAAGAAAACCAAAAGAACTTTTTTAATAGATTGAGAAATAGATAACTGTGCTGTTTAAGGCCAAAAGATAAAGATGATGGATAACAAGTGGTGGAAACAGGAAGGGCAAGAGAGAGACAATGTCCTAGAGAGTGAAAAGACTGAAAGGAAACTCTCCTGGGTCTAACTGAGGTTAGCACTCAGGTAAAGAGAATTCTATCCTGGGGAATGAGGCCTACAGGAACTCATGGGAGACAGAGCCAAAGAAACAGGCTTTGGTTGGATATATGCTATATGCTGAGACTTAGCTTTTCCCCGGAATGTTTGTGATAATTCTCAGTAAAATAACTTGATAGCACAACTGCACTGCCAAGTAGATGCTGTGTGATTTTTCATGGGGTCATGTGAACAACTTTCACTTCACCTTAGATAGGGCACCGATGCCAGAGTCCCAAACCAGTTCTACCCAAGTTGAGCTTTGTGAACCAGTGAGTTCATTAGTGTAACCTACAGGATCGTGGGTGACTCAAAGGCAGTTGCATTGCTAGAAAGTCCCCCCCCAACAGTGTGGGTAAAGACTCATGAAATTGCATCTTGGAGCTCCTTGCACAACTTGCAGGTGGCTGTGCTTCAGAGAGAGACAGAGAGAGTGAAAGAGAGAGAGGAAAGAGAGAAGAGGAGAGTCTCTCCCATCACCTATGGCTTAGATAACCATGCTGAAAAGCTTTAAGTTTTAGAAGCTTCCTGGGTCTTGTAAACTTTGTTTATTCCTGAGTCTTATTAATGCCCCTCTGCCCTGTAGTAGGGAATTCTTCAATTGGAAGGTATAACCACAAAACAATGATAATGGTGGTGAGGAGGAGGAGGAGGAGGAGGAGGCGGAGGAGGAGGAGGAGGAAGGAGAAGAGGAAGAGGAAGAAGAAGAATGAAACTAAATGAGGTTAATTTGACCACGAGCACGTGACTGGAATAGAACCAACAATACTGTGGGAATCGCTGAAAGCAATTCAGGCCAGACTCATGAGAAAGACTTGGGGTTCAGAAAACTTCTCACACTCACAGTTAAAGTTTGTTTTTTAAAGGGTTCAGATCAAACACGCAAGAGGCAAAGCAGAGGGATGAAACCACCTCACCCTTCCAGTTTTGTCTTTCCGTGGAGGGGCAAGCACAGGGCCAACCTGTCCTACACGGTAATGGAAGCATTGCGGGAACTCATCTGAGCCATAGTCAGGGGGTTATGGCAATCAGTCATGTAGAGAAGGCTTCTGAGTGACCGACCCCACACACTCAGTGTCTGCACAGCAGAGGTCAAAACGATGCTGCAGCAGCCTGAGGCCTGAGACACACCATTGTATCCTTGTCAGATGGGATATCCCCGGGCTCAGAAGTTGATTCTCCCAAGGGCCAGTCTT